CAGAATTACAAAGGGAAGGCAAGCAGCATCCAACAGGACAAGTTCCCCCCATCCTGAAGAAGCTTAGAATGCAAAAAACCAAACTTGGAATTACGGTGCCAATTCACACCTCACTCAACCTGTTGAAACAGATATCATATGGCATAGAATTAAGAAATGAAATCCTAACTACTCAATCTGGGAGATAAAGTAACCCCTCTTGTCCCCAGAATTATGAGGAAGAAGTGGAACAAACAAAGTTCAACCAATGGCTTTTGAACGTGACACTCCATGTGCAGAATTAAGAGGAGTCAAGGACATCTTCCATGATCATGGAAAGTAAGAGAATGACCAAAAGAAGGGTCATGTTCACACAACTGGATAGTGAAATGTCATCTCTGAACTGGAATTACCAGGAGGCTCCCGCATAGGCTGGATCAGCTCCCCACCCAACATCTGGGAAAAACATCCTGGGTTAAGGGTAGGAGAGTAACCAGTTTTGCCCTCTTCTCCTTGAGTGAAATAAAGAGCACAAACAAAAATCAGGAGGAACAGACCTCTGTCCACCAATCCACTGACTGGAAACTGAGAGTGGTTTTCCACTAGAAAAGAGTGGGGAGGAGAACTTGCATTGGGGAGTCCTGAGGAATGCTACTCCAGAGAGAGTGTAGAGGTGAAACTCGTTTCCTATTTCAAAAAGCAAACCAACCCCAATTTATTCAATATAGGGGTTCAAAAGGATTGGCAAAGTCCCCTTATGCTTTACTCATGATAATCCACAAGTAGGAGTCCAGTATTGTACATGATATTTGATATAGAACAATTGTTCACCACATGGAAAGCTCATTGCTACCAGGAATTTAGTTATTAGTCTAATGGTAGCTAGTGCAGATTTGTAAGAGCATACCTAACCAGGCAACACTTGCTACTGAGTGAAATCCAAATGAGAATGATGAACCTGTCCTGCTCCAGAAGGAGGACACACTAGCTGTTTGAAAGGTGACCTGCACTACACAGACAGTGCCACCACCACCCTAATTCCCACCATATTGTGCTGTACACAATCAGTGAGGAGCTCTCTAACATCCACCTCCCCAGCAGCTAGGAACTTGAAAAAAAGGGGGGAGAATTTACATTGGAGAGACCTGGAGAAGTGTCCTGATCTCCATCAAAGCCTGACAGAAAGATCCTTTACCACAGACAGTGCAATTGGTGACTGCAAAACTCAAATTTTTAAAAGTCAGTAAATGCAAGTCAAAGAAGTGGGTAGTCACTTCCCTAGTGCCCATTCTGAATTGGGTAATTAAGTACTTGTAATACCATGAGAAAACCTGTAGTGGTCCTGCAGAACACCCCATTTCAACAGTAGATCCAGAACAGATGGATTGAGCACTTTCTGTTATCCCTGACCTGATACAGATTTTGGGAAATAAGCATACCCTTACAGGCAATAACAGCCACCAGGCAGGATCCTATAAAAGGGAAGAAAATATATTTACTCTTCTCAAAGAGAATGTGTAGATTGAATAGCAGTGCCTGGCGGGATTCAAAATGCCACAGGAGATGAAACAGCTAAATAATGAAGATAATGGATGACAAATGTTTGCAGTCACCTGGAGGATCTCTTCCAATGGTCAACAAAAGAGTGTGAGAGTAATACAGCTGATGAGAGAAGATGTGAAAAAGCCTGAGCATCAATATCCAGGGAAGAATACACCAACCATAGGAATTGGTGGACCCAACCTTTAAGGATACAAGGAAAGAGGTCCCTGGACAAAGAAAGATCCCAAGTAGAAACAAATGATGAGAGAAACCTTGAAAAGGAAACGTATGTGCCAAGTAACACCTAGCAGTCCAAACCAGACACAGAAGATGATCCAGGTCCAAAGAAGCATAGAGAGGAGAAATTGAAGG